GCCACCTTAGGTGTACATGGCTGGCGCCTTAGCCGTTCCCAACTATTTCTTAAAGAGAAATTAACAAATATCATCCCCAAAATAGCCATATTAGCAAAAAATAAGAGAGCCACTACTCACTTCAACCAGCTTCTCTCAAGGTAATACACAGATATGCTGGAGTAATTAAAGAGAAAATTAGATTTTTATCTTCTCCAGAATGATTCCCACCCAGCAGTTCATCAGAAATGTGTCACAACAAGAGACGCCCGAATCAGCAGCAACAGACAGAAAAACAAGAAGACTCATAAAGGGTGAGACATTTTCTAAAAGGAAGGAAACCCCAATCCCTTTAGAAAGCATAGTAACAAAAGGGAGTTAAGGAGTTTCGGATCCACGTGTGAGGTGCACCTGGACTTGCTAACTGCGGTAAAATCCAACACCCACCATCTGCTCTAAATACGAAGATGTGCATCTTTACACTACTGGGCTGAGAGGTGACAACATAAACAAGGATGCTGAAAACAGTTAAGAGGGAAGAGGAATGCTCAATATTTGATAATACTTCCTAAAATTCTCAGCTATCGAAAGGTATGGCATTACCTTGTGAAGTTGCTTCAAGCCATCTTCAGTTTTGACACAGGACTGTTCAACATTATAGTCAATCCTATCAAGGACTGTACCCTGGTTAATAAATGACAGTAACAGATGATCAACAACCAAACTGGGAAAACTGGACTTCAAAAACAAGATATGCAAATTATCGACGCCATCATCCACCGGATGATCTGTTTCACTTAACATAAGGTACACGCTGAGGGCTGGGATCCGTCCTCAAACAGTACTAGGCATTCAACAGCAGAGTGCTGCGTTACTGGCAGGAAGACTAGCTTCTGAGAAAGAAATTCTGACAAACTGAGGTTTCTTTTTTGGATTTAGCCACTATAGGATATGCCGTATTCAGACTTATGGAGGCTTCAAAAAATATATAGTTCAGTGGAAATAGCTCAGAATGAGGAAGAGCTAGCCTTGTGCCCATTTGTAGCTTAAATAGGATTCGAGTAAGCAGAGAATGCCAGTTAAGCTTCCCCCAGATATGATTAGACCTGCAAATTGACTATCACGTCTGTAAACGTGAACACAGGTCTCCACGGGTCCAATCCACCATCTAAAATTAAAAATTTGGCCTCCAGGAGAATTTTAAAATTGTTTAATCTCTTAGTTCAAATAAGAAGAAGGGAAAGCTGGGCTACAAGAAAGAACAGGGCTTTTATTGGAAACATGCTGGATTAGAAGAGATAGCAGCTCGTGGGGAAGCGCTGGAGTAATTAATGTAACTGGATCTTCATGGCCTGAACACTCCACTCTGCAGTTGGTTTCAGGGGATTGGGACCCAAATCCCTGCTGGCAAGATAATAAAATGCCCTAATCAGATTTTAACGGTGAACAACAATTTAATTGTACTTGAAAGCTAGTGGTTCCAATCGCCATTACACAATAGCCTGTCAAAATTAGAAGGGAAATCTTATATATCGCCAGAACACTGCTGAACTTGGTCAGAATCAACCAGGTCTCCTAAGCAGGGTGTCACATGAGTGCCCTTGGGCCGTGGACAGGGACTATTACAACTTCTATTTATTTTTTATTTAAAAAAAGGTTTATTAATGGTTTTATAGGGAACAACGATGGCCTCTATATGCTGTATCTAGCATAGTATATAATTTGTAAATACATAGACAACAGCTGAGTACCCCTTATCTGAAATGCTTGAGACTAGCAACGTTGTTTATTTTTTCACATTTTAGAGGATTTGCCTACATATGATTAGATACTTTGGTGATGGGGCCAAAGTCTAAACACAAAATCCATTTGTTTCACATATATTTTATACACATAGCCTGAAGGTAATTTTATCCAATTTTTTTTCATTTTTTTTGTTTGTTTTGTTTATTGAATGGTAACTATGTACATTAATGCACTTCTGGGGTACAGTGTAGGGTTTTCACACACAATCCAAAACACTTCCATCAAACTGGTTAACATAGCCTTCATGTCATTTTCTTAGTTATTATTTTAAAACGTTCACATTCTACTCTTAGAAAGATTCACTTGTACCCTTGTAAGATAAACCTCAGAAGTGATCTCTCTAATCCCCCTCCCTCCACCCCAATATTTTTAATAATTCTGCGCATAGAACAAAATTTTGACTGCCATCTGTCACATGGGATTGGGTGTGGATTTTCCACTGTGGCATCATGTCAGCACTCGGTAAGTTTCAGATTTTGGAGCACTTCAGATTTTCAGACTAGGGATGCTCGACCTTCATATACATTTACTTGCACACACAAAAGTGTACGCACACACACTCACACACACACACACACATTGTGGGAAAAGGCCCAATTTTTTTTCCTGAAAGGAGTATAGGATCAAAACATTTAGAGATGGACCAGATATTACAGTAAGAAAACCCATTGATGAAGAAGGTCAGCTCACATACCTGTTCCACAATCATTGCTCCTAAGTCCCTAAATATTTCATTCAGGTCAGAAATGGACTGTACAATCTGGCGAATCTCTCGCTCTCTCTCTTCCACCATCAATGTATTCTGCTCCACAAGCACTAACTGGTCATCTGTAAAACCCTAGCAAAATAACAGTGCAGAATTTATAGGTTAGATTTTTTCCCCCCTCTCAGCAAAGCTATGGTATACCAACCAATTTAAATATAATTTAATGAAAATGAATTCTGAAAATATTTATTTAAAGCCAACAGGAAAGACATAAACCCCCCCAAACCAGCAAGACTGACAGCACTATGGCCAAAGAAGGGAATCTGAAGAGAAGTCTACATCTACAGCTCTGCAGAGACAGAGGAGTGAAACCCCCAGGGATGAGCCTGAGCTTCTCTGGGTTCTTCCTAGGAAAGTGGGGCGCAGTTTTCCTAAAGGTTCTGGAAGGCAAATCACAAGATTTCCCTGTGGCCTTTAGAAAGGAAGAAACAGCAGGGCTAATCTTCTACTTGGGGGCCAAAACTACTTGACAGATACAAAGTCAACAGCCCTAACCCATCTGCACTGCACAGAAGTCAGAGGTCCAAGCAGAGAAGGGAACAGAATGGGGCGCACACTACAGCCGCCCTTCACATACCCGATCATAAAGTGTATTATCGTCCCCGTCATCCATTAGTGGTACAGACGTATCAAAAAAATGCTGTGATCTTTCCTCTCGATTCTTCATGCCTATCATAGACAGGAATCCACTTTACTTGGACATGTAAACCATGTAAACCATCCTGTTTCATCATTAAAAATGGGAAATCTAGAGTAAACTCAACTGTCAAAATGGAGACATTCTCAGCAGCTCTGAAGAAGCCTATCTCCAGTAGGGGTGGGACAGAGTACAGGATTATAAATATACAACGATATGCAAGCATCTGGGATTATTCAAGATAAAGTCACGGTGTGAATGTACACAATTCACTGATGCCAAAACAAAAATGACATAACCATCTGAGAATCTCCAAATGAAGCAGAAATATTTAATCTAACTGCTGTTACTTTAAAAAAAAAATCAATATTTCTCTCTAGAAGCATCTCTAATAAGAATTCCAAATGGCCCTAATCAAATTTTAAAAGTAATAAAATTAAAATACAAATGTGCTTGTTGCCAGAGGGAGGGAGAACTAAGGTTTCTTTGGGGTATGTGAGGATTTTATTGATTACAATGGCAATAAAGGAAAAGCCAATTTACAGGGGACTTAGGAGGAGGACAAAGCTGAAATTTGGCTCTGCACTCTTTGGGGAAAGGCCAGATGGAGTCCGGGGTGCCAGCAAAGAGGTATTTAAAATTCTCCAGGGAGGTTTCTCAGGTAGTCTCACACACTTCCACTGTTATGCAAATACATGGCTTCAAGTGGTAACAACTGTTTTTTACATATGTAAGGAGCAGCGCTCACAAACCCAAAACAACAAGGTTTTTTAAAATGTGCTAGATTGATTTCCAAATTCTTCCAGGCTGACAGGAAATAAGTTTTGTTTTGTTTACTTAGAAGGGAACTATTTGGGAGCCTTTTGCCACTGCAGTCAGCACCCAAACAGAGCCTTCCACTCCCAGGCTGCAGTTCCACACTGGGAGGCGGCTTCTACTGGAGTACAAGGTGCACACGGCTCAAAAGCTAACAAGAAGGGTGCAAGACTAAGTGGAAAAATAGCAGAGAAACAAGTAAAGAAAACAAAGGTGTTTTCTGACTCAAGTCCCCTCAGCCACCCGGGCTGCACTCACGTTTGAGGTAGTCCGACTGTGCATGCCGGAAGCTGGTGGACAGCTCCTGCAGGGCCTGGGCCAGGGAGGCCACCACATTCCGGAGCAGCCGCTCCTCCTGCTCTGAGCAGGCCCTGTGGGCCCGGTTGGGCAAGGCCTGCACAGCTCGCTGGCATCTGTGGAAGAGCTAAGAGAACAAGCCCAAGGCTCAAGGCAAGCCTGGGGGAGAAGCCCCTGGGCTAAGGCTTCCACCCTTCACAAGTCAGAAGCCACAAGTTGGCTTAGAGAAAGATGAACAGACACAAGTAATCTCCAGCTTACTTTATACACACAAAAGATTAACTTGATTAACTCCTACTGTGCAGTGCCTGCACGTGGCATGTCCTCAGGCTATGCAGGTTGGGGCCACCAGTGTTTCGAGTTTCAATTTGGGATTTTTTATTATTTGCAGAATATATACTAGTTGAGCATCCCTAATCTGAAATCCAAAATGCTCCAGTGAGCATTTGCTTTGATCATGTGGATGGTCACAAAGTTTCAGATTTTGGAGCATTTTAGATCTTCAGATTAGGGCTGCTCAACCTCTACTATTATATTATCATTATATTATTGCCTTCTCATTTAGTCCCTACAAGCATCCCATGAGGCAGGTACTATTATTATAATTATTTTTCCCACTTTACAGATAAGAAGGCTAGAGTCAGAGAGATTAAATGAGAATCATGCCACTGTCACAAATGCCGAGAGTCAGTATTCCAGCTCCAACATTCAAGGGCTTTTAACATCACACTCTTCTGATAATTAGCCCCCAAGAGACTTGAGTGAAAAATGCATGTAAATACTGAAGGTTAAATACCAGTACTGTTATTTAAAAACTAGTTAAATTTAATACTTTATAAGACATTTTTCTAGGATACTAAATTTCTTTTCACATAAGAGGATTATATTTTAGCAGAAGAATTTTAAGCACTAGTATGGGATAGAAGTTATACATTTTAAAATCAAACCATTCAAGTTAGTAATGCTCTCAATTTGATTTTTATTTAATCACATTTGGTTTTATTTAATTTAATCACTGTATTATCTTCAAAAATAACCCCATACCTCTGTCTAAGACAAGACATGCAGCCTATGCTGACACCCCAGAACACCTTAGGGTCTCTTAAAGATCCTTGGAAGACTTCCTGCTGGGAAGTGAATTTAGGAAACTGACTTGCCAGCCGACTCACAAGAACACTCTACAGCTGTGCTACTGCCTGGGGACTGGCCGACTCACCCAGAATTCCCCTGCTGATCCTTACCTGCGTGATCTCTTGGGTGGTTATTTCAATGGCATGCTCCTCCTCACTGCTGTCATCCAGGGTGGGTCTGTTTAAATGCTTGTCATGAAGGCTGGCTAATTCTTTCATCTTCTGTTTAATCCGGCCAATATCATACTGTATCTACACAAATGAAGACACCAGAACTCTAATAATGCCTGGCAGGTATCTCTGCCTCCCAGACAGGCAAGCTACCCACCAAACGCGGAGTTCGGTCTTCAGCATGGTTTGCTAACATGTGAACAAGTTTTAACTCAAGTTATCAGAAAATCAAATGCCACTCTTTCTTGTTGTATGGTTATTCTTCCTACAACTCAGGTAGTTTCTACTAATATTAAAACTAAAGCCAAAATCATTAATACACACACACGCATATACACAGCTTTTTCCTGTGGTTAAGTGAATAAACCTAAAGCTAATGTATTTCTAGGGACACAAATTTAAGTATAGCAAAATCAGTTTATACAATAGCAGATACTTTTCTTTAAAATTTTGTTTTCTTACCAGTCAAGTGCAGTAGTGAGAAGGAGGGAAAGAGTGGAATGGAACAAGGATTCCACTTGGAACTGACTTGTCAACACTCAATGGCAATAACTCAGTACCTTCGGACCAGTCCATAATATGGCAGATACCTTAATATGCTGTCACAATTACTTTAAAAAATGTGAAATTAACATTCAACTTACTTCATCCACTCCATCCACCCATTTAGGAGGCGACCGTTTTGTAACGCCAATTGCTGCTTCTGGATCTAAACTGATGCCCGACACCAGTGCCATTCGGTCATCAGCAAGCTGAAGGGGAATAAAGCGATGTGAAAAGAATATTCAAGTTCAATTTGGATAAGTGTATTCTTACTCCCATTTAAATGTGCCTCCCTAAAAAGATACAGAAATGTAGGAGTAAATGCACTTGCCTGTGTGCAAACTTGCTTTTGGTACTGCTAGGATTTGGAACTGTTTTCCTATCTTTTTCATGCACCAGTTCTTAATTTCCTTGGACATACTTGAGAACATGAATTTGACTTGATCTGGCTATAGAAATGTAATGAAAAAGTCAACAAAAGTCCTTAAAAGAAATACCTCTTAGCACTAGCACTATGATAGAATAGCACGAACTGCAACAATTAATGTGATTAGACACAAGTAAAAAAAAAATTAGGCTGTAAGTGAAACTAATACAAAATTTTTAATAGTAGCAAGTTTTACTTACATACACTTAGCATAATTTAGAAACAGTCTGATCGAGTCATCTCAGTCATGGGACCATTAACCATGTGCTAGAATATGTGAAGCGACTGCCTAAAATGGTTAAGAAATTATCTACCATTTGGCAAAAGCAATCCTTAAAATTTCAGTGCAATCTTACATTGTCATTTCTTTTCTTCAGCCAAATGTCCACAGGCAACATTTCCCCTTATTTTAAAATGATATCAATAGTTCCTGTTTATTTTAACCATATAATACACTGCCTTAGAAAGCTCTTAAGAATGGGAAGGAAATCACAGGTTTGGCATGGTTAAGCAGTTTTCTTGCCTGGAGGCAATGAACTGGTTGAAAGGCTCTTGAGGTGTTCTCAGAAGCTCAGACATTTTAAATACCAGTTTCAAAAGATCTGAATGATCATCAACATATAATGGAAACTAGCCTACAAAGTCCTTTATAGACAATACTCTGCAAAGTTTCTCAGTCACACTGTAGGACGGGTAAGGAACTTCTATTGCTTTTCTTCCCTCATCTCTGCATTTATCCAAGTTTATTTTTTCATTTGTTCAGTAAATACTTATTTGCTTTTCTAACAATAAAGGAACAAGACAAAAATTAAAAATCTAAAGATGAAGGAGAAAAAATAGAAAGAAAAACCTAGGTTAAAAGAACTCTTCAAGTAACAGATCCTAAATCCTGAACAGAGAGTTCACAGCAAAATTCCTAAAAGCAAACTGGAGTCTTCACCATCAACTGCCCTGCACCCTGTGTGGTGCTGCCTCCCCTGGCTGGAAGCATTCTGCATAGGAGGGCACCTCATACAACCACCACACTAGGCGGCCAGGCCCAGTAACTGCCCCCACAGCATCTACAAGAACCATGATTCAGCTCACCGGTGTTTGGCTGCTGTGTGGACAGGACACTGCAGGCCCCAAGTCTCTTAAGTTCCTAAAAGGATGCTCTGTCATCCACACCTGTCCAGGGCTCTGAGTCCCTGAAGTAGTAATTCTTAATCACCATCGCTTTTTGCTTGGTTTTAAGATAGTTCACTATTAGAAATTTCACATTCTTTTTAAAAATTTTAATCCTTAGAAAAACTAGGTAAGCTAGGAACTATTACTCTAACCTATAAATATGTAAATTTTTCTAATTTCTAATCAGAAATGTTAAGTAGCTTGCCTAAAGTTAGAGCAATTTGTGATCAATTAAAATCTGGGCCAGCTGACTCCAAACCCCCTTCTAGCCTAGAAGATGCCAACCACTCTGGCAAGCCCATGAAATATAACTGCAATTTGCTCAGAAAATGAACCAGGACAATAAGCCATCAGATGACATAACACAGCATTCCGATTCATTTTCCACCAACTGAACCAGGGATTAGAGGACAGACTCCTGTAAGCACACAGTGGGTCAAAAACTGCCTCTCGCCGATGCTTAGTAGACAGAGGAGGTATGGGACTCACCCTATACACACCATGCACAGACAGCACATGCTCGGGTGACCAGAGGCACTCTTGTTTCTTGTCAACACTCTTGTTCCCAAATCACCAAGAGGTATACAACTCGCAGTTTTGTGGACGACAAACTAAGGCAGGGGGACAAACCACATGCCCAGCCCCCGGCATCCTGCCCAACGCGCAGCAGGTGTTGGGCATAGGATTCTTGCTGGCTTGGAGCAGAACTTGAACTTAATTTCTAGTTGCTTATACAAAGCAAACCCTAAAACTGCTAGGGTACCCCTTCTGAGTCATAAAATTTCCACTATACAGTTTATTATCTAATCCACCACTTTTTATTATGCCAAATTTCAAAAGTAATAATTTGTTTTATTTATAGTGAGTTTATCATTTTTTAAACTCATGATCTTACTTTGTACTGTTTTTCCTGTTTACAGATCAAATACACATCAAACTAAAAAGGTGCACAGCGAGACAGTATGTCTCCAAATTGTGATTAGAATAATTTTCCTCCAAACAGATAAGAAATTACAAACCACATGTGAAAAGTCAACTTAAGTGGATTCAACTCTTTAAGTACCTAACTTTATATAATGGATGTGTTTTCCCCAAATTAAATGTAAGTCAAACTTGGGGAGAACACCCTCTGTCTCGTGGGCCCTACGGAAGACTGCTAATATGTGACCCCTACATGACAAGGACAGATGCCGGCCCGTCCAGGGGCCGCTAGCTTTCCCACACCCTGCATCAGGGTTTTGTCAATGAGATAGAACAGCTGATTCTCTGGGAACATAAACTTTAAACAGCGAATAATCCGTCTCCTTTCTGATACAGTCTGCAGCTATAGCTCATCGTGGCAAAGAAATGCTGCCCTCCCGAGAACGGAGTCACTCCTTTTGGTGGTGTGGGTTTGTAAGGTGTAGCATGGCATGGACTATTAAAAAGACTGCATGTTTTGGAAAGGTACAACATAATTGAAAAAATAAATGTCAACTATTTGAAATGGGAACAAATATGAAGAACAAAACAAATTTTAAATGCAAAAGAATCACCCCTTTAACTTCATAAACCTCCCTTCCCATTTGAAAACATGTTTTCTTATTTGCTGAAGATTCAGCATGGGCCTCAGATTTTCAGTTGCCATCCTATTCCATACAGACCTTAAAAACTGCTAGATCGCTAATTCTCTTTACTTATCCTTGCTGAATTTAAACTTGGTCTCTTTTCCAAATATATGATATTGATTATTAAACTTTTTTAAAAATGAACTTGTGATTCTAAAGTAAAAAAAAAAATCTATGCTTTTTAAGTAGGAGAAAAATTTGTATAAAGACTGTTCTTATGAGAATTAAGAATTCAATAATTCTTCTCTTTGATTTATAGTTTTACTCCCAAGAACTATTAAGGTCTACTATACCTAACCCAGAGTCACTCTTCCAGGGGAATGCAGAAAAACTGCAAGAGATACTAAAAATGAAAAGCACGCCCAAACGGTGTTCTTGCCAGTCTCATTCAAGTTATCGTTCGCCCTTGATCCACTTCAGACGTTGACATTTATCCCTGTAGAGTACTGGGTACTATGGACAAGTTCTTGATGTATGGAAGAAACACATTCTCTTATAAATCTTACTGCTCCAAATCTTCAGCCTGCCTACTCTTAAAATCCTGCCGTAACGTGAAGGTTGATTCAGTGTACCGTTAAGAATAAAGAAACATCAAAGCCTCTGTAGAGACTGGAAAAGTCAGATATGCCTCCTCCTCATCTAAAAAAAATAAACTCCAGTTAGCCATAATGAATTGGTAATGAGAATACTACTATATACTACTACAATTCTGGACTGTGGCAATGAACATTTAAAAGTCCAGAAGAGACCTTGAGAATGACAGCCTGGCAACTCTTGCTTCCATGTGAGACCCTGGAAGCATGTACGGTGAAGTCAGACAAGCAGAACTCACCGGGCTCAGAAGGCTCAAAGGTTCCACTAACAGACAATCAGGCTTAGGAAATCTGAGTGTCTGAAGAGTATACAAGCATGTGGATGAAAGAGAACCAGGGTAGATCAGCACTACATTTTAAAAAACCTGTGGTAATTTTAAAATAATGCTTACTTTTTCTGATTATGAAATAAATGGTCAGATAGATCCTTTTTTAACTGCACAAAACATATAGAAATAAAGCCCTGAGAACCGTACCACCCTGATATTGCTGTTAGTTTCACTACTCTTTCCTTTCCTCTCAACTCAATATACATGCTTCCGGGAAAAAGGGAGGGAATGGTATCAATTAGTTACCTGTCTTCTTTTGTACTGTACCAAGTAACTCTACTGACTTGACCATTTTCAGCCCCAGCAACCACCGGGGTCGGGGGGGGCTGCCCCCAACTCTTTGAATGTGGACCCTGAGGCCAGCGGGGCTGAGACTCTCTCAAGGCTCCATCAGAGTGACCAGCCCAGATGCCCACCAGGTCACCCAGCCCTCCCCAGATGAGTGGTTTGAGAGCCTGACATTTGCATCTTGTAATTTTTCAAATTCCTATTTTGAATTAAAAAGACCAAAATCTTGGGAGATTATTTTGTCATAAGAGGGAAATAGATTAGACTCAGAAAACAAAGGAGAAGTTCAGATACTTTCTAGGGCAGAAGAGTTAATGGTGGGGGGTTTCCTCCTCAGGGGACTCCTTACTTGGGATTTTCTGAGAAATGAATGGTATCTCTAGGGACAAACGGAGGTGGCCAGACTACAGGGCATCTCTGAGTAAGTGGGAGCCATCAGATGACTTTACTCTGGGAGCCCCAGGAGATGCAGTCAGGGACTCTTCTCAGGCCTCACCTACCAAGGGGTGGCCTCTCTTTGATCTATCTGGGGACCTGCCTTCCCAGAAGACACCAATTTGAAGGTCCTCTTCTGGCTCAGGAAAGAAGCTTCTGGACACCATTCCCAACTACCTCCTAGTTCCTGGCTCAGTTTTTGGCTCTTCTGTAGTAATAAATACATGATTACAATTAGTCAAGTGAATTGACAATAAATGGATAGAATGAAGGAAGGAAGGAAATATATGTCACATGACAATTCTAGAAGGTGCAGTTGATGAAAAAGATAAGGTACTAGACAAAGGAGAAAACAGGGCAAGTGAAATGCACAAGAGAGGTGGTGGCCACGGGCACCCAGAATGAAGAGCCTGGACCATGAGCTTTAGGATACAACTCATGTTTCTAACAGCTTGCGAGGAGGAGAAAGTGGGTCTCTGCTCTGCCACATGAAGATCCCCTTTTCAACCTGCACAGGCTAAGTGTAAGAAAAGCAAAAGGGTTTGCCAAGTTTACATGGTGCACACACAGTCGGGTTCCAGAACCTGCTGCCTGAGGAGGTATGAAAGGACTGGAACCGGTTCAGACAGCAAGCCACCTATGCTTCCTACTCAGACAACTACTCAAATATGCTTTTCAACATAAGTCATTCTATTATCTGTGAACACCCCCCCCCACCCCATACACTTTCTGTTGGGGTCACAGTTCCTATTTGCAAACAGTTCAGTAAGAAGTAACATCTATGCTAGAAGTACCTGCTCTCTAAGCCCCAGGCCTTATTATTTTTTTGAGTTTGGTCAGCAATCCAACCTTATGCAATGTGCCCCAGAGATCCCTTACCTCACTGCGTGTGCTGGCCTCTCCAGGACCCAGTCTGGGTGCTGGCAGTGAGGGTCCTAACCGGGAACAGGATATATGCATGGCCATGGCACCTAGCTCAAAGAGCTACCAGCTATGTGTTGGTTTTTAAATACTAAATGTTTTAGTGACAAAAGTAATACACGCACATGATTTAAAAATACATATATACCCTAAGAAAAGGGTTTGCAAAAGAAAGGAAGTTTCTAACAGACTTTTCTTGGGGGTTATCAACAGTTAACAGCTTACTGTGTATCTTTTCTGAGAACTTTGAAGCACATACAAGCATAAATGTGAGCTTGCTTCCTTTCTCTCCTTTTTTATGGAGCAGAAGTCACATTATCTACACTATTTTGCATCTAGCTTCCTTCCCACTTTGTAGCAAGGTGTTTGGGAGCTCATTCTACTGCAGCCCCCACCGACGGGCTTCACTCTTAAAAGCTACAGGGTGTTAGAGATGCTGCATGATTTATTTCACCATCCCCAGTGAAGTATATTAGGCAGTGCACAGTCTGTTATTATCATCTAGTTAATGTTTTTAGAATTTCTAGGCAGATCTTAGTCTACTAGTTAGGATCCCACTGGCTTTGAAGACAGTGATGCTAATCCCTTACTGTTCATAGTTCTAGATTAAAACAAAGAAAAACAACCTCTTCATTACTCTATTTAAAAAGTCTACACTCAGGAAAAATATTTTCATCCCTTTACTGCTGAAATAAATAGACCCAAACATCAATAGCAGCAGTTTGATCTCATCTTTCTTCAACCCTTTCATTAGGGCTATGAAAACAGTGCTTTCAATATACGCTCTCTCCACCTTCAGGGCGAGATGCTAGAAGTAATGAAAAGGCCAAAAGGAGGCTGCTAAGCAGGGGCGAGTGTCACTTCAGCCCGGAAGACTCTCCCCCAGCTGGCTTCGTCCTCCCGCAGACATGCCGGCCTTCTGCACTCGCCCTGAGCAGCTCACCACTCACCTCTGAGAAACCAGAAAACCAAAACCGAACCCTAAAAGCAATCTGGCTCGCTTCAGGTTCAAAAAAATGTTAACCCCACTTTCCCGAGGATAGTAAACAATGTTCCTAACCCTTTCCCTAAAATCATGAATTTGCATATTGGTGTGAAAGCATATTAAACAAATACTAAGTATTAAATTGCTAAACAATAAGAAAATAATCAAAACAAATGCTAAAATATGTGTAAGTTCTGTGGACATTTTATAGATGAGTCAAGACTTCAGGAAAAGCAAGTATTTTATAAACCAAAATTACCTAACACACACAAAAATATTCAAAACACAATACCTCATCCAGCTCCTGAAGAGATAATGTGGTTCCATCAGTCCCATCCAGTTAGGATAGCAAAAAGAAAGATGCATGGGACAGACAGATAAGGCATGGTCAGTTGAGAAAACAGAGATTTTAAGCAACTCTAAACTTAATAAAATAAAAATCCACTAACCAAAGCATTAAAAAAAAATCCTCATTCTCATTATTCCTTAAAAAAAAGTAAGCTACATCAATATATGTTTTTATTTTTATTTACTATGATTGCTGTTTTGGTAAATGAAATGGAAACAAGCAATAAATACTTGCAAAATTTAAAATACATTAGAAACATATAAAACACATTTGCTTTAACGTCACTGAAATATACTGTTAAACTGTTTCACAAATATCAAACATCCTGTAAAATACCACATTCTACCTTTCCCTTAAGAAGATAAAAAAACAGCAAAGCTAAAATGTAATTTTACCATGTCAAATAAATATATATTTTAGCATATAAATCAGCACTGCAAATACAACAAAATTAAAAAAATGAATATGCCACAAAAATTGTCTATGGCTGTGTTCAGATAATATTTGACTGACCACATATGTAAGGCCTCTGCAAATTAAATTCCCGCAGACATGGCTTTCTCCCTGGTAATGAGAGAGCTGAGAAACCACTCTTTCCCGGAGAGAGACACAGGTGGCAAAATAAAAGAAAAACTCTTACCATTTGCTTGGTATATATTATTAGTAGTAATATAGAAAGGGCACATAAAGCTATTATAAAAGCAAGCCAACAAGACAAACAAAAGCTCAGAAGAGATTGTTTTTAGGGGAATGGGAAGGGAGAAGCACGGCACTAGAGGGTTAAGTTTCAATTTAAAACTAAAGATTCTTTTTTAGATCAACGTGGAATTCTATCTTCTGAATAGACATTTCCTAATGACAGATAATCTAAGCAATGAGGTCTTTTTTTTTTTTTTAACAATATTGATTACTGAAATAAATGGTGGTGAATTTCAATAATCAACTGTGTTGATTTTTTTTATGTTGAACAGTAAATTTAGAAAATAAAAAACATAACTTTCCTATTTAAAAATTAATAGTGCAACTGAAGCTGGTCTATCAGAGCCAAAATATTACTAAGCAATGATAGCAATAAAGACGTAATCAAACAACATTTCCCCATGTAAAAATTCAATTAGATGACATTATAGAAAGCTGAAAATCTTCATTCCTTCTACAATTTGCTAAGAGCAAAAGGGAATGATATTTATACATATATCCTGCCATAATAATAGTGCTACAAGATATTAATAGAGACGATAGTGTCAAATGGAAATTTGATCCAATTACCTATTACTTTAAAAGAAAAAAGACTTTTTTTTTTAAAGCTTAACGTTTTCATTAAGAGAACCTTGAAATCTTTTATTAATAAAACACAATGCAAGGCAAAACCCCTAACTCTGTATCTCAACCTTCCATTCTGCAGCGGCTCCTTGGCATTTAATCTTACTGCAAACCTCGGTTAAAAATCTCGGCTACACAGGAGCCTGTCCTCTTAGATTATTAACTGAGCACACACATCCTCATCTTTTGATTTCTATAATTATTAGCTGATAATAGGTGAAATCAGAAGCCTGAGATTCTAGGGCTAGAAACAACTCTTTTCTTTCAAATAAAAAAAACCTAAGCTTCAAAATGTACAAATACATTGCCCGAAGTCACAGTTTGTTAATGGTTAGTACCGGGACAGATCCAGGTATTCAGGCCTCCTTCCACCCCATATTACAACCTTTAATTTTATTCACAAATCTAGAAATTATTTGTGATAAGTAGTTACCACTATACCACATCTGGAATTAAATTCAAGTTATCTTTTCAAAAAAAAACCTTCCCCTCATTTTGCTACTTAAAAATAGGTTTTCAAAACTCTCCCTGCCACCAAATTATTAGGAAATTTAGTCAAGATCTGAATTAAACATTTAGAATTACAATCAGCAAAGACCAAAACACAGCCAAATGAAAACATGTTACTATACACATCATCACCTTCTAAATCTTTATAATGTCTAAATCTAGGTTTTTGACCTGCCAATGGCATGCAATCAAGCAAATATTGAAAACTCCAAGTAGCATGTGGAATTTATAGTGTAAAGAACTTTCTACATAAAACTGAAAAATAAGTGGAAACCCATCTGTGTTTACTCAGGGAAGTCTGGAAAAGTTGAGCAAAAGGAGTTGGAAATACAGGTCTATGCTATAGTGATATTTACTTTATTTCCTTTGCTGCCAAAATAAAAGTTTGCTTCACTTTTACCCAACAAAGTACCCTTATTCTCAAGTAAGCCTCATTGCTCAAATGGAATCTTTAAAAGCAGAAAAGCAAATAGATCTAAAGAGAAATATACAATGATTTCATACTTGGATTCTAAAGACAGAGAACTAATTTTCCAACAGACTCGGCCTGGACTCTGTGAGAACCTTCAATATGCAGGTTAAAATGGACTATGTAAGGCTGTGAAGTGAGAGCAAGAAAGATGCTAGCTTGCTGCAGGGGAAAAAAAGTTATTTCAAACAACAGGTCTTTCCATTTCCCAGGGTCTGCAGTACAAGTCCTCAGAAACACAGGCAGCAGCACGGTGGCTTAGGGGGTGAGCATAGGCCTCTCACGCCAGGTTTGCCACTGTTCCCATCACAGCTGCACCCCAAAGTCTACACATTATGTGAGTGGTACCAGGCCAGTTCCTAAACTCCTCTAAATCTCAGTTTCTTATCTGTATCATGAGATACCTATTAGATGAGGCACTGTGAGGACAGGCTAACCCATGGTAAAGGGCTTAGCCCAGAGCCAGGACATAGTAAATACTCAATAAATCTTACCTAATATTATAGTCAAGACTGAGCAAGGACCTTAGGTTTCTTACAACCATAGTTAATCCTTAATTTCTTTTTTCCCTAAAGCATATGTTTTATTAAAAATAAGGTGCTGGTTTCAAGCTAATCTAAGACCAATTAACTCTAGCTTCCAATTACAGATTATGTGTTATTTTAAAGCAGAATATAGAATAGGTAGTAAACACCAATAAAGCAGCTCCCATCCCTAGGTTATATCCCTTCTAGGAGATCAAAAGAAATCACACAAACCCACAAAAGAATTTCATCGGATCAGAACAGCAACCCAACAGCTACTTTCACTCATTAACACATTAGGAATTCTTTGAATGATTTTTTTTTTAAACTTCATA